TCTCTCTCTCTCTCTCTCTCTCTCTCTCTCTCGTCTTGATTGAGTCTAGCCTGGTGTTGGGCCCTTGTAAGAGCTTGTGTTTTCTTGAGAGCTTCACATTTAGAAATGAAGAGACACCAGTAAGGACATTCAGTGGAGGACAGGCTGCTTAGGTACAAGGGGCCAGGCCCCACATATCTTTTTCTTCATATGGGTCCCAACAGAGTAGTAAGCCATGTCTCTTGACCTTTATCATGTGCTGCAGCTTTTCTGAGGCTGTCCAGAGAGCAAAGGCCTTTACACCTCTTGGTCTCATTACCAAGAAAGAGGGAGAACTTGGCCATAATGGCAGCCCTCCCTCCCTAGGACCTGAGTTGGCTCAGAATACCCATTTCCCATATCACCCAAGACAGACAGATGCTGGGGCCCTTCATCAGAGAACGGGTGTGGGCTGGGATGACTCACCTGCTCTGTCACTGCCTACAGCTTGGCTTCAAGCTCTTGGGAATCAAAACACTTTCCTAGGAAAGACACAGAAGGCTCTCCTTATAGAGATAGCAGCTTGGGTTCCTGCAAGTCTGCAAATGTTGGTCACTGTCTTGATGTTCAAAGCCCAGGGCAGTGAGGAGCCATCTAGCTGAATGGTCATGAAAACTGGTAAAAGCAGAAGTCTTAGAAAGTAATGCCCTGATCTGGGCATCAAATGACATAGATTTTTAGGTTGTACTTGTATAAAGGAGGCATTTACTCTTTTCCTTTTTTTTTTCTAGGCAAGAAAGCTCTACCACTGAGTTATGGAGCTATATCTCCAGCTCCAGTCTTCAATAAGTAAACTTTTTTTTTAAAAAAATCTTTTTCTATTATGTGAACTAAGGGCAGAGGAGTTATGCAAAGTCAAAACCTATCCCCCTACCCATTGATGGTCCTTCAGTCTCTGTAAATATATATAAGCCAGGGTAATAAATGCTATATTGAGGTGTTTTGTGAGAATGGAAGAGAAATTAACTTGTCCTTCCTAGGGAAAGTGGTCAAGCAAGGTTAGATTTAACTGAAGAGACGGCAGGCCTTGGAAGTTGCAATACTCCTGACAGGTGTAAGTTTGTGCATCTTTGGGGAATATTGTGCAGTGTATTGACATTGGAATGTGAAGGTGTGAGGGTGAAGAGAGGAGATTGCACCTGCAGGTCTATCTGGATCTAGCAGTAAGAGGTTTTGTAAGTCTTGCAAACTTTGGGCCTTATAGTGAGTGCAGAGGGGAGACATTGAATTATTTCAGTGTTAAGCACAAAGCATGATCAGATCTGTGTTGTATAAAGATCATGCTAGCAGTAATTTGGAGGATGAACTGGAAGGATCAAAGATGAAGAGAGACACTAGTTCGAAGAGAGTTAGAATATTAGAATATCACAGGGAAACAAGTTTAGGGTCCCAACTAGGGGATTAGAGAGACAGATAAATCAAAAAACAAAGTTCTGTATCCATGAGCTTACTTGTGCTTTGGTGCTTCTTACCCCATTCCTCAGTGATTACCTTGATTGCTTGCTCATGATCCATCACAGGACTGTGACCTGGTTGTTGTTGTTATTATTATTATTATTATTATTATTGTTGTTGTTGTTGTTGTTGTTGTTGTTGTTGTAGATGGACAGAATGACTTTATTTTGTTTGTTTATTTTTATGTGGTGCTGAGGATCAACCCCAGTGCCTCACATATGCTAGACAAGTGCTCTGCCACTGAGCTACAGCCCCAGCCCCACTGTTTGATTTTGGCCCTGTGTCATTTCCCTGGTGTTCTGTTCACCCAACACTTGAGAGACTCCACTCTCTGGAGACCAACTAGTAGGGAGATGCTGTTTTGCCTCAGAGTCCTTTTTGCTTCCACCTCCAGTTCCAGTTCTGCTGTTTCTTGCATTGGACCTGAGTTCTCCAGATAGGCAATGGCATCTATGCTGTCCTTCCTGTTACTCTTTCCAAGAGGAAGGATGAGACATGATGTCTCATTATAAGTTGTTGACAAGCAGGAACTAGAAAAATGGATTAAAGACTAAATTTGAGATCCTGAACTAAGAGAAGAAGGTGAAATACATGGCAGTCCTACATGGTGACCTAGCAAGTCTGAACACCTTGATTTAAATTTAGATCAGTTCTATAAAATGTCACCCCAAAACAAGAAAGATGTGCCTTCTAATTCTTTCACTATTCTCAGGCCAAGGTTACAATGATGTCCCTTCTTTCTCTTCTTGTTTGTAAAGTTGTCACCTCATGATTCTTGGGTCTATATACATTAGCAATTAATCAACAAATAGGTTCCTGGTACTCATGGTGTGCGCCTAGCCTATTATACTCTGAGGCAGGATATAGATACCCCTGGGCTATGTTGTTGTTGTTTTTCTTCTTCTTCTTTTTTTAATGTTTTTTTTTGTTGTTGTTTTTAGTTGTAGGTGGACACAAT